TAGACTCCAGAGCCTCGAGCACAGGGTCAGAGGTCAGCCGAAGACCTCAGCTGGCAGTGGGCCGGCTGTGGCGGGACCAGAAAGTGAGGCCCCATGGCAGGAGGCTCAGGCCCCAACACCAACCCGCAGAGCCGGGCTTCTCACAGAGAGCGCCCCACCCCCGAGCCTAGGGCTTCAGAGCGCCCGGCGCGAAGAGGAGTGGCCAGGCGCCTCTCCATAGGACAGAGCAAGAGCCCGAGTCCGGTGCCTCCCTGCTCCCCCAGGCCCCGACAGGCCAGCACCGGGCCTGTGAGACACCCCTCCCCCAGCCCTGCTGACCAGGCTCACGTCCAAGAGCAGCCGGGGCTTCGTGTGATTGGGGCAGGCATGGGGCTCCGTGGCCACTCGGACCACACGGTGGGTGCACGCCGCCGCCACATTTGGGAGCTGAACACCGGAGTGCCCACTCGTCCTGGTTTCCACTCGGCACATGCCCCGGAGAAGCGCTGCCCAGCAGGGGAGGGGAGGGCAAGTGAGGGGAGGAGAGGGAAGGGAAAGGAGGGGTGGGGAGAGCAACTGCCAGGGAAGCACCTGAGAGAGACCACTCACCCCAGCTGCTTCAGGCCCTGCCCTCATGCCCCCCCCAAAACGGGCCACCAAACCCCTACGGACCACCAAACCCCCACGGGCCACCAAACGGACAGGCTTGGCAATAGCGCTCCCCTGGGAGGCCCTGCAGGAGGCCTGAGGAGTGAGCAGAGCGGCTTCCAGGGCTGTGGCTCCACCTTCCGTCCAAACTTGGCACTGCAGGCAGACCAACAGGCCCGGTTCCTCTGTCTGCCAAGCCTCCACAGGGCTGCTAGGGACTTTTTCCAACTGAAGTGCCAGCAAGAAGGAAGGAGGCTGGAGAACCAGCATGAAGGGCAGGCCCAAGCAGGCGGCCAGAGTCACTCCCCTGGCCACTGAGCCTGGCCCTCGCTGGCTCAGCCCACACCTCACGCAGACCTCACCAGAAAGGCTGGCCCCTGGTGGCCTTGGGCGCCGCCTGCAGGTGCTCCTTGCCGTGGAGGAGGGAGGGCGACTACCCCTGACGCCCAAGAAGCCTGGGCCCCTCGACAAGCAAAGATGACCACGGGCATCCTGCCGGACAGACGCAGCCGGCCCCCGCAGGCAGGGCGGGCCTAGGCAGGCAGCCCCTCTGGCAGTGTCTCGCTCAGTCACCAGGCTCAGTCACCTGCTTCTGTTCTGTGATCTTCAGTCCTGGCAGATCTCACGGAGAGGGACTTCTAGACTGCTCCCCAATCGGCGTTGTGGCCACAAACCCCTTTGCTTTCCAGTGCTCCTGCTAGTGTGAGCGCGTGCTCGTGCTCGTGCATGTGCGTGTGCGTGTGCATGTGCTACGCCAGCCCGGCCCCACACACCGCCCCGCACGCCGCAGGCACTGCACCGGGTTGACATAACCACACGTAGACCACGTGCCTTCCAGAGCAGGAACCTGGCTGAGCCGCCTGCTCAGAGGGACGTCACCAGGGAGCCCGGCTGCAGTGTGGCCCGTCAGCCCGGCCGGCAGCTGGGAAGTCAGGTAACACAGCACTTGGGTCTAAAGCAAAACAGCAAAGCTCACTCTGTGGCGGGACTCTGTGCGCACGGCTCCGAGCCTGGGCCTGCCGCAGTGTGAGGTGCAGCCAAGGACGGCATGGGTGCAGGAGCCAGGGGATGGGTGCCAGGCAGCCGGCAGGCAACCAAAGGTGGCAACTCCTCCTCCATCGCCTCCACTGCCTCCCCTACTGTGCACTGGGCACAGGGAACACCTGAGGGGCTGAGGAAAGAACACCCCGGAGGAAGATGGAGGCACCGGGCCCTCCTCCAGGCACCCTGAGGCCACCCGCTGCCCCAGTCCTGACGCCGGGGGTAACGGCAGTCACCGCTGAATGCGAGTAAGACAGATCCCAGAACGTTCTGGGCACCCAGGTGACATGGCCGCCCTGTGACAGGGACCCAGGTGCAGACGATGCTGGGCAGAGGCCTGCCTGGGGACAAAGGTGAGCAGTCAGAGCAGCCCGGGACCGGAGGAAAGATGCCGACCAGCAGGGGAAAGACCAGTGTTGGATGTGGGTGCACTCTGGAGCCAGAATCATCTCCTGTGGTTTAACTGGGGGTGGGAGGGAGAGGCAGCGAGTGAGGAGCCGGGTCACGCCTGCTACCAGAGCCAGGGGTCACTCATGCCCAGCAGACACGCACGTACGCACGCCGAGTGGCCAGAACCACGGTGAGTACCATCCCCAGCCGATGGAGACAAGGAGAGCAGAGTAGCACCAAATGGAGGAGCCTGACGGCACAGCACGTGATCCTGGGGGAGCCTGCGTGTGGAGTGGCAGAGGCCATTGAGGATCCCACGCTCAGCGGGATCTGGGGGGGGGGCTGCCAGGGGAGCTGGCCCGGCAGGTGTGTGCCATGTCAGGGGACGGGCCCAGCTGGAGGCCCCGAGCAGAAGAGGGAACCCGGGTGAGAGGGGCTGCAGGGGCCAGCGGGCAGATGCCAGGGCTTTGGACCCAAGTGCGGATGTGCTTCACGGAGGGCGGAGCACAGGGGCTGGGCAGGACATGGCCAATGCATTTCCGCTCGCGGGTTCCCTCGGGCAGCTCCGAGAGGCGGCGGCACAGAGTCAGAGTGGAAACAGCGGCACCGGTTCTCACTGTCTGAAGGAAAGCTGTAAGTGCTGGAAGAGGGCAGAGTCATGGGCACTGGGGACAGAGCGTCCACAGCTGTGAGGAGGGAGCACACACCGCAGCCCCATGGCCCGCACACAGCAGGGTGGGGCAGCAGTGGCGGCAGGGCCAGGGTGGCTTCTGCCTGGAATGTGGCCTCCGTGGGGCCGAGCAGGAGGGCGGGCTGACAGGAGCCCAATGGTGAGCGCACATAGTCCAAACCCAGGCAGCTCCGTCCCACTGAGGAGGACGGGGTGCGGGCACGAGGTCAGAAGAGAACCCAAATCAGAGGAAGTCACTTCTGCTGGCAGTCGGAGAGCCGGGCCTCCGCCCGCAGCACCCAGTCCCCGGGTCAGGGTCAGCAGGCGCGGCCCCACCCTCCCTGGCATCTGCCCGCTGGCCCCTGCAGCCCCTCTGCTCTCCAGGGCATCCTCGCCACCTGCCAGGACATGAGCCACTGGCACCCCTGCCTGGGCTTGCTCACCTGACTGCACCCCGCTGGCCGTCACTGCAACGGGCTCAACGTCGTCCTGGCCAGCCCTGCGCTCCCGAAAGCAGAGGAGACCCCACTGCCCCGGCCTCACCAACGCCTCGCCCCTGCTCTTTCCTCGCCCCTTTCTTTCCCAGTTCCACCTCCGCTGGTCTTCCAGCCCCAGCCGCTCACTGCAGCGCGCACCACCGCGGGCCCAGCTCAGCCTCCCAGCCACTCAGAAACGGGCAGCAGCCATCGCGGTGCTCGTTAGCGCTAACAAGGCCTCCTGTGCCGGCAGCAGGCCTAGCGCGGCACGCAGATTCTGACTGAACTCTCCCCACACCGGTGCCAGCTGTCACCTTCGTCACCGTGACAGGCGAGGCCGGGAGAGGCTGATGAACGCTCAGGGGCCCAGCAGCCGGGGGTGGGCAGAGGCTGGGAAAGGAGACTCTCAGCCTTGGCTGCAGTCAGGCGCAGCGAGAAACCCCCGGACGCGAAGCAGGGCCGGCCCTCCGGCATCTGGGTGCCGCCTGGCCCTGCTGGGCTCAGCAGCTGGGAGAGGGCCACTCACACAGACCCCGGGACACGGCCGGGCCTCCCCCACTCCTCGGTGGTGAGAGCGCAGCCTAAGCTCCAAACAGAATCACCACTGCCCTCTGCTCTTCCCTTGCCCTCGGGGGCAACAGGGAAGCCAGACCACCTGGCGATGCCAAGAACATGCCAGCCACAGGCACTGCCCCCTCGGAGAAGGTCCCCCAATGCCGCCTGGAGCCCCAGCGCCGAGGGAGGCAGCACGGAGCGGCGAGGACAAGGCTCTCGGGCTCGTCACCTCTGACACCTGAGGGGAGAGGAGGGGAGGCTGAGTCCATCCCCACCAGCCAGTGACATAACCAAACAGCAGACCTGAGAACCTCACAGAACTGGAGGGCGGGGCTCTGAGTCTCGGGCATCTGCCCCATCCCGGCCCATCACCTCCTGCCCCGAGCTCTGGCTGCAGCCTTCAACCTCCCGGTAAGCCAGCCACCAGACGTCAACACTTCCTGAGCTGAGTCGCTTAGCAAATTGTTAAATGGGGGGACGAGGGAACCCCCGAATCTGTCAGCAGACAGAACTGCAGGTCACCTGGGGACCAGACGCTTGTGACCGGAGTTGAAGGGGCAGCCCCAGTGCCTTCGGGTCTGCGCTGACTCAGGAGTTCGTGGGAGAACCTAAGGGAACGGCCGGGTGTCGGAGGCGGGAGGATGGGGCTGGAACACGGCGCGGGGGCGACAGGAGGAGAGCGCCACCCCAGGCCCTGTCGGGAAGGACATACACCTCCCTGCTGGGTGCAGCTGTGCTCAGACACAGGTCTCCATGGACCGTCCCCGAGTGCACAGGCCACACAGGCACACACACACCTGACCCCAGGACCCAGCTCTGCACCAACGGGTCACTCAGAGCCCACATTCCTGATCCCGTTCAGCCTTGCTCAGACCCCGTGCCCCGGGAGCCAGCCCATTGGGTGGCCAGCCCACAGGAGAGCCAGCCCACAGGTAAGCCAGCCTATTGGGTGGCCAGCCCCCAGGGGAGCCAGCCCACCAGGGAGCCAGCCCATTGGGTGGTCAGCCCACAGAGGAGCCAGCCCACAGGGGAGCCAACCCATTGGGTGGCCAGCCCACAGGGGAGCCAGCCCACAGGGGAGGGAGCCAGCGGTGACTGGCATGTGATGGATGACAGCGCCGCCCCACTTCAGCTGAGTCGGGCAGACACAAGGCACCGTGCACCCAGCTCCCACTCACTCGGGCCAAAGCCAACTGGACAGTGAAGCGTGCACAGCTGTCCGTGCCGGCGCCCAGGCCTACCTGCTGGTGATGGAGCCGTTCCTGTCCTTCAGGGCCAGTTCCCGCTGCTGCAGCTCCACGATGAACCGGGAGAGGTCTTCCGGGGACCTGCGGGTCAGAACACACTCAGCACCGGTCCTGGGGGGGACTGTGCCAGCCGCGATGACTCCACCGGGGATGCATTCCACCCCGGGCGCTGCCCCCACCTGGCCTCTAACCACGGCCCGCCCTGCCCGCGCCACTGGGGAGAGGGGCTTCACTTCGCCTGTAAGCGCAGGCCAGTGTGCAGGACACGCAATGAGGTCTGAAGCGCAGAAGCACCGCCGGCCCGGGCCCGGAGGCACTCACTGCCCCCTCTCCCCCCGCCCCTCCTCAGAGCCCGCGCCAGCACAGCAGCTGCAGCAGCACAGAAGCCCCGCACTGGGCTCTAACCTTCACGGCGGCAGTCAGTTACCGCAGGGAATGCCCGCAGCAGCCCTGTTTATTGTTCACCAACGTGGAAACTGAGACTCAAACGTTTCAAAGTCACTCTGCTTGAGCACCAAAACTCAACTCTAAGCCCATCCTCTAACAATGAGACATTTAAAGAGAGAAGAAAAATCAACCAGCAGGTGAGGCCGTGTCCTGCCGCCACCGCCGTCCCCGCAGAACCACCTCCAGTCTGCGCTCCACGCCTGCCCGCTCTCCTCCCATCGTGTTTGTGCCCAGGCCCACGCCTTCCTCCACCCAGCGCTTCCCTCCCACGGCTCCTCCCACTGCTCACGTCTCCACAGGAAACAGAATCCTGGGGAGGGGGGGCGCTGTCACCATCACTGAGGGTGGAGGGCCCAGGCTAAGGGCTGCCTGCCCGCTCCCCCGCAGGCCTGCTGCTCTGCCTTGGTGCTGAGCGGCCGGGAGGTGCCAGGGTGAGGGCGTGTCCCCGCGCCCCCTCGCTCCTTCGGAGGTTTCCCTAGAAGCCGGCTGCACTGGTCCTGCGCCGTGTGCTGCTCGGCAGCCTGCGGCCTCTGCCGGAGGAATCCTGGCAGGCGGACGGGGTTGGAGTGGAGTGCTCATTTACCATCCGAGGGTTTTCCTGTCTCGAACAGGGACAGGCCTGGCCAAGAGCAGGTTGGGGGGACGCACCTGTGAGGCCGCAGTGAGGCTGGGGGCCATGAGCCTGACTGCCCGCCCCCTGGGCTCACAAGCCAGGTCGACTCCTTGGCAATCTCCCACCTTGAGGAACTGGGCAGGCTGTTCCGTGTCCTGTGCTGGTGTGGGCTTTTCTCGTGGCTCCTAGGCCACGTGAGCTACAGCCCAGCGCCTACAGCCTGGCCCGCTGCCTGGAAGCCTGCGCTGGACGTGCTGTTCCCAAGGCCAGCATCCCTGCCCAGCTGCAACCCCATCAGACCTCTCTGCCCAGGCCTCCTGAGCCTGGCACAGGCCCTCAGCGTCTGCGGGCGGGGTCTTCTTCGATCCTCCCAGCTCAGCCTGGGCCCCCTCTGCTGTGGACGTGCCCCTCACATCCTGGCAGCTGGCCGCTCTGTCCACGGGCACCCCGCCCCCTGCTCGCTGCTCCAGGCCCGAGCTCCTGGCTGAAGTTGTGCTCGGAGCCGTTAGCCAGATGCCCTTTCGAATGTTGAAAGCTTTCAAAAGATCAGCTTTTCCAGTGAGTGAGGAGCAGGGGGGGAAATTATGGCATTTGTCTGAAAGGCTCCACGAGCTTTATTTAGCTCCCACGGTTCAAAGAGCGCCTCTTGTTAATCAGGAGAAGACTCGGCCTCCCTGGGGGGCCCCGGCTTAATTGGAACCCGGGCTGTTTGAAGTCCCTTTAATCCTGCGGGCTGGGAGAAGAGTATGCGGCAGCAGCTGCAGATCTGAGGTCTCCTCATTCGATCTGCATGTGTCTGGGGACCCGCGTAATTCGTTTCCCTGAGACAGTGAGGCCGGCGGCTGGCCCCTGGACCGCGGTGAGGCCTGGCTTCATTAGGCCGGAGCGGAGGCCGCCCCTGCACCCAGCATCGGGTCCCTGCGAGGGCGGGAGGGCGGGCGGGCTGCAGGTTGAGCCCACGATTTGGTTTGCTGGTGCCGACGTCCGCATGCAGATGCCACACGCAGGAGAGCTGTGGCTGCGCGGCCTGTGACCCCAGCGGCCGACAGGCCCTCCTCTCCCACGGGGGACTGCGCAGCTCTCCAGCCACAGGCCTCCCTGGTGGGAGCTGTCGCTGGCCACTGTCTCAGGCACATCTTTCTCCAGGGCCTGTGGGCATGCCTGCAGCCAGAGAGCCAGGCCCTGCTGCTGGGCTGCCTGACCACAGAGGGGTGTGCAGCAGCCACCTGCCCAGCCTCCCCTCCTCAGGGGTGGGGTTCACTGCCCCGCAGGGCCCCTGGTCCCCTCCCCTCCCTCCAGTGCTGCCCCGCCGACGCGCCGACGCGTCCTGCAGAGACCGAGAGAAGCTGCCGATGTTGGGGTGCAGGCTGTTCTCCTTTTTAAAGACGTGAAGTGTATCGTACATAGGTGTCTTCAGAGCACACACACAGCCCAGTCCCCCAGTCCCGCCCTGAGGAGGACAGTTCCTTTGGACACGGTGGCCTTCCCCAGCACCAGCCCATGGCTCCCCGGCCTCAGAGCCAACGCCACACCGCTCACCCTGCTCAGCGCTGCACAGCCCGCCACCCCCAGGAGACGCCACGTCCGTCGCAAACGGGTCTGTTTCTGCCGGCTTCACACATCACTGTGATTAAGTAATCTAATTAAATGTTACAGAGGCTGACAGAAAACAAACTGGGAAGAAAGCCGTGTTTCTGTGAGAACGAAGTTGAAGACTCTGGAACCTCTCAAAGGAAAATCGCCCCCAAATTTCTGTTAAAGAAAGCAAGTGACTGACTAGAAGTTTCAGAGGGAAGGCTGTAACGGTTAGGAGGACTGAGGTGTCCATCTTAAAGAAACAGAGCTAAAATCATGGGCATGTTTTGTGGCTCATGCAGAAAATCTAAGATGAAATTCAAGTTAGTGGACTCATAGGAGTCTGCAGCTTGGGAACGTTTGTGTATTTGCAATATTTTAAGTTAAAATGTTTGATGTATAAACATCTTATTTTCCACTTCAGCAAACTTTTGGAATCAGTAACATTCTTATTTTACCTAGGAAACGTTTTACTAATGTATTTTTGCTCCACTTGCAATGCAAACTATTCATATTGTAATACCTAGCTAAACATTTAGGAGTGATATACGATTGTGTTATTGTAAATGGCTCTAGTTATATATTCATGAATTAACTCATCATGGAGTAATTGTTTCCTTTTTAGAAGTTTTTGTATAGTACTTCATTCTGCACTATAAGTTTATAATGCTAAGCTTTAAAAAACCACTTTCTGAGCAGCTATTGCATTGGTACAAATGGTAACACTTTTATGGAGGCACAGTGGCAATCCCTGCCCTCCCCAGCAGGAAGCCCAGTTTTGGCTTGTGCATTCTGGACATTTTTACACACACATAAACTGTAGCTGTGCTTACTCATTTTCCATTTCTTTTTAGAAATGATGGCATGGTACACTCACTTATGTTTCTTTTTATTTAGCAATGCATTTTGGCCACATTTCCATGTAAACATATGACAAGGTTCTTTGGCCCGGCTGGTATAGCTCAGTGGATGAGCACTGACATATGAACCTGGAGGTCATGGTTCAATTCCCAGTCAGGGCACATGCCTGGGTTCCAGGCTCCATCTCCCAGGGGGGGAGGTGGGGGTGGAGGGAGTGCAGGAGGCAGTCAATGATGATTCTTCTCTCATCATTGATGTTTGTCTTTCTCTCCCTTTCCCTTCCTCTCTGAAATCAATAAAAATACATTAAAAAATAAAAAGTTTCTTTGTGCTTTTCTCTTTATTTCATTTTACTTAATTCTATTTTATTTTTAAATTGTCTTTACTGTTGAAAGTATGACAGATGTCCCCTTTGTTGGTTTGTGGGTTTTCTTTTCCCCATTAACCTTCTCCACCCCGTACCTGTCCCTCCCAGGCCTCACCATTGTCTGTGTCATGGGTGATGCTAGTCACTCCCTCCCAGCTCCCCTGGGCCCCGCCCACGCTCTGAAATGCCTGTCCAGAGACATGTTTTAAACAGACCTCACTGCATGCCTAGAGTGTCATTTAACCAGCAACGCGGACCTTGAAACCCAGCGGTGTGAGCTCAGACACCGGTAGAATGGAGTTGGACAGACAGTTTTGTTTGTTCAGTTAACGTTTACTGAGCCTACTTTTGTGCCAGGCCCTATTCTAGGTCCACAGCCAGTGGAAAACGGACCAGAATAAGCAGCACCTACTGCGATGGAGCTTGCACCGCAGTGAAGCGAGGCCACAGGTGAGTCCAGATAAAAGGCAGAGCCTCTGAGACCCGTCTGCTGTGAAGAAAAACAGTGCAGGGCAGAGTGCGAGGGTCGGGGGTGCTGTCTGGAGTAGGGTGCTAGGCAGGCCGGTGACAGAGCCTGCAAGAGCTGGCGAGGGAGCAGCCACGCCGAGGCCCTGCGCTGGGGATCAAGGGTGCGAGGGGGGGGGCGCGGGGCCTCGGCTCTGGTGGTCTTGGCCTTTGCTTGGTGCTGTGCGGGGACACACACACACACGCACTGGGAGGCCTGGTGCTGTGCGGGGACACACACACATGCACACACACACACACACACACACACACACACACACACACGCACTGGGAGGCCTGGCAGGCCATGTGCTCTGAGTGACGCTGTCAAGTGGTCAATGGTGCCAAGGGGTCAGGTCACCAGAAGACGCCGCCACACCGGCCCAGCAGGGAGCATTTCAGAGGGATGGCGCATCAGCCACCTCTCTCTCCATCGGGCGGCCCACTTCCCCGCCCTGTTCCACGGCTACGCTTCAGCTCTTCGCTTCAGAGGAAAGTGGAGACTGGTGAGCAGTGTCTGGCTCTCCCCAGATGACTGCTCCCAGCTGCGGACTAAGCGGTTCCTCAGGGAAAGTCCCTGTTTCTAAATTGGCATCACCCGCTCCTGCCTCTCTCCCGGAAGGTGCTACGTGGAGGGAAAGCAGCCATCTCAGTCAGAGATGCTGTCTGTCTGTCTGTCTGTCGGTCTGCAGATGCTGCTCCACGGGCCCCTCC